ATTCAGCAATCCCAAATATACACACGCATTGCTTAACTCTGCATACATTGATGAGTACCTACGTGATCCAATATGGCCGGCCACTTGATGTTACCATCGGATAATATTTTTTTAATTATTATTATTATTATTATTATTATTATTATTATTATTATTATTATTATTATTATTATTATTATTATTATTGTTGTTGTTGTTGTTGTTGCTGTTGTTTTATCAATAATATATCTGTAAACTTTGCTTTATTAAGAAAGTAATTTATTACACACAGTCTTTGTGTTCAGAAAAAACAACAGGTACTACCAGCATCACAACAGGTACTACCAGCATCACAACAGGTACTACCAGCATCACAACAGGTACTACCAGCATCACAACAGGTGCTACCAGCATCACAACAGGTGCTACCAGCATCACAACAGGTGCTACCAGCATCACAACAGGTACTACCAGCATCACAACAACTATTGCCCGCATCACAATAGGTGCTGCCAGCATCACAACAGGTGCTGTCAGCATTACAAGAGGTGCTGTCAGCATCACAACACATAGTGCCAGCATCACAACAGGTGCTGTCAGCATTACAAGAGGTGCTGTCAGCATCACAACACATAGTGCCAGCATCACAACAGGTGCTACCAGCAACACAACAGGTGCTGTCAGCATCACAACAAGTGCTACCAGCATCACAAGAGGTGCTACCAACATCACAACAAATGCTATCAGTGCCCTAGTAGAAAGGTAAGGCAATTTTTCTGAACTTTAATTATTTAATTAAACCTTCTGGAGTTAGTGTTACAGACACAGCTGTCAGAATTCATTTAGAACTTACGGTTTATGTTAGTCGAATGCAGAGGTGATTACTATCCTGCAGACAGTAGAAAAGCAGTGAGTAAACGACGGGCAAATGCAGTATACTGAGATACTATTAACAACGTTTCGCCCATACAGTGGGCTTTATTAAGTCAGAAACGAACCATAAATATGATACAAATATCTAATTTATTATTTTGAATAATATATTAATAGCTTTGCAAGTTGTGAGGAGAAGTGTCAGTAGTAATTTCAATCATTAGTATGTTAATAGGCTTTATAATTCACTAATTGCTCTCAATTATTAGTTAATACTTATAAAATGTTAATATTCACTTGTCTACAATGATTTATTAGTTATGGGGAATGCGATGTAATCATGGTTGCTCCGAGGAAACGGAGAGTAGCTCTAATTCCTTGAATCAAAAGCCCTTCACCAGCTTCAGACACGCACACTACTGAAGCTTCTATAAATGGACAAAACAAAAAATTAACCATTTTTTGTCATCTAAGACTAGATTTTCAATTTTCGAGAAACACTTAATTTTCGCACAAAAGTATACACTGTATATATATATATATATATATATATATATATATATATATATATATATATATATATATATATATATATATATATATATATATATATATTATATTATGTGTGTGTGTGTGTGTGTGTGTGTGTGTGTGTGTGTGTGTTAAATTGATTTTAAAATAATCCAAAAAATTATTCAGCACATTCATTTATGAATATTTTTACCACAATCATAAATCTTTGATAATTTTTTTTTGTTAAATACTCCTAGTGGCTTGTTAACCAAGTAAAATCATAACCTAGTGACTTGTCAATATGGTAATTTGTCAATATGGTAATTTGTTAATAATTTTTTAAGCTAATAATGTGTTAGCCGAGTAATTTGTTAGTCAAGCAATTTGTTAACATAGTAATTATTACCTAACAGTTTCTTAACTTAGGTATATTAATTTTACCAAGCTATTAAGCTAGATGTTAATTTAACGTAGTTAATAATTAAACTGGTTATTAACTTAGATATTAATTTGACTTAGTTATTAACCTAGATATTCATTTAACCTAGTAATTTGTAAATTAGCTCATAGTGAACATCAGTTTGTCAACGGGTGTTAGAAATCCTATTTTATAACTCCTGTTAATGCAATCTATAACAATGTGACATTGCAGCAACACCTGTGTACACTCTTGTTTTATCTTCCATGTTGATAAACACATCCTGTGCATCACTATGTGCTGCTGAAGTGTGTTGAACACTGAGGAAATAACAGTTTGAACAAAGCTGACTGATAGAAGGTACTGAGAGAAGATAATGATTGACGGTGCTGATAGATAATAATTATTGATGAAGTTGTTGATGGAAGTTTCTGATAGAAGATACTGACAAAAGTTATTGACAGAAATTTTTGATAGAAAATACTGATAGACGTTACTGACAGAAGGAACTGATAAAAGCTGTTAGTGGTAGAAATCACTTATAAAAGTAACGCGAGAATGGCCTGGAAGAGTCAGGTTTCATCGAATTCAAGTGGGAAATGGGAAATAAGTTTGCTCCAAGTTTTTTTTTTATATCAAGGATACTTCACCAGTGTCAAGGCTCTCCCACCCATGAAGGATGGAATCCTTGATAGCTCGCCTAGATTAAATAGAATTATAAAGCACGAACGACTTACCTTCATAATGACCAAGGTCTCATTTTGTACCAGGAAGATGTGAAAATGTATTTCCGGAATCTCGTTTCTATCTCAGTATGATGAAATGAATATATATGTTAACACTGCATGCTTACGGGATTATGATCTGGACAGACGCAAAGAAGAACATGTCAGTTTTGGTGTGAGATTTGAATTGATATTAGTGAGTCGGATTCTTCAGATAAGAAGACCTTTGAACCAACTCAGGTATTATTTAGGGAAGAGAAAGTAGCTCCAACTCTTTGGATCAAGAACCCTTTATCTGCATTGAGGCTCAAGAAGAATTGGCCAGACACACAAAATGTTATTCAGATATCTCAATCATATTTTTTGTCCTTGTGATTGTTTCTAGATTATATTGTAGTTGAAATAATTTCCTATAGAGACTGGAGGATAGAGATAATAAAAAGCTACCCACAGATGTGTTTGACAATATAATTCACTATGAAGCGTGACTGTTGGCTTATTGGGTTCAAGGCCTCTCATCTCACTAGGAAGACTGCATTTCAACATCAGTCAAGAAGACTATAATTTCTAATATATATGTAAATATATATTTATATATATATATATATATATATATATATATATATATATATATATATATATATTATATAATATATATATACACACACACAGACACACACGAAGATGACGAAGATGAGCAGGACCCAGACACAGGAGGAAGGGCAAACGCACCCTACACGAATCTCCCACCAAAAGACTCCAACCGCGACATTCCAACGCAACTGAGCAACCTATAATACAACCCACTCACTGTTCCTCTGCCACCAACCCCCATATCACAAACCTCACCCAACAGCTGTCCTTATGGGCATTCTGACCTCCCCCATCATCACAAACCCCACCTACACCACAGCCCCATATAGGCCCCCACCAAGGCTCTCGCTCCCCAACCCCAATATTCTTGCATGACCACAATGATAGAAAAGAAACTGAAAGTTTGGTACACAAACGCGGATGGAATAACGAATAAACATGAGGAGTGGAACGAAAGAATCAGTGGAAAATCCCCAGACATCATAGCAGTCACAGAAACAAAACTCGCTGAGACAATAACAGACACAATCTTCCCAACGGGATATCAGATCCTGAGGAAAGATAGGAGTAGAGGGGGAGGAGGGGTTGCACTGCTCATAAAACACCGATGGGGATTTGAGGAAATGGAAGGCATGGGACATGATTGGAGAAAGAGACTACATTGTAGGTACAATTCAGTCCGGAGAACATAAAGTAGTCATTGGAGTGATGTATAACCCACCACAGAACTGCAGGAGGCCAAGAGAGGAGTACGAAGAAAACAACAGGGTGATGGTGGACACACTGGCTGAGGTGGCAAGAAGAGCTCACTCGAGCAGAGCAAAGTTACTGGTAATGGGCGATTTCAACCACAGGGAGATCGACTGGGAAAACCTGGAGCCACATGGGGGTCCCGAAACATGGAGAGCCAAGATGATGGATGTGGTACTTAAAAACCTCATGCATCAACATGTCAGGGACACAACCAGAGAGAGAGGGGAGGATGAGCAGCAAGACTGGATCTTGTGTTCACCCTGAGCAGTTCAGACATTGAGGACATCACTTACGAGAGGCCTCTTGGAGCTAGCGATCACGTGGTTCTGAGTTTTGATTATATAGTAGAGTTACAAGTGGAGAAGGTAACAGGAACTGAAGGGGACAGGCCAAACTATAAAAGGGGGGACTACACAGGTATGAGAAACTTCCTGCAGTAGGTTCAGTGGGACAGAGAAATGGTAGGAAAATCAGTAAACGAGATGATGGAATATGTGGCAACAAAGTGCAAGGAGGCAGAGGAAAGGTTTGTTCCCAAGGGAAACAAAAATAATAGGAAGACCAAAACGAGTCCTTGGTTTACCCGAAGGTGTAGGGAGGCAAAAACTAAGTGCAAACAGAGAATGGAAAAGGTACAGGAGGCATAGGACCCAGGAAAACAAGGAGATTGGTAGAAGAGCCAGAAACGAGTATGCACAGAAAGGAGGGAGGCCCAGCGACAGTATGAAAACGACATAGCATCGAAAGTCAAATCTGACCCGAAACTGCTGTATAGCCACATTAGGAGGAAGACAGCAGTCAAGGACCAGGTGATAAGGCTGAGGAAGAAGGTGGAGAACTCACAAGAAACGATCAAGAGGTATGTGAGGAGCTCAACACGAGATTTAAGGAAGTATTTACAGTAGAGACAGGAAGGACTCTGGGGGGACAGATCAGATGGGGACACCAGCAAGGAATACACCAACAAGTGTTGGACGACATACATACAGATGAGGAGGAGGTAAAGAAACTGCTAAGGGACATCGATACCTCAATAGGCAATGGACCGGACAACATCTCCCCGTGGGTCCTTAGAGAGGGAGCAGATATGTTGTGCGTGCCACTTACCACAATCTTCAACACGTCCCTGGAAACTGGGGCAACTACCTGAGGTATGGAAGACGGCAAATGTAGTTCCCATTTTTAAAAAAGGAGACAGAAAAGAGGCACTAAACTATAGACCTGTGTCACTGACGTGTATAGTATGCAAAGTTATGGAGAAGATTATCAGGAGGAGAGTGGTGGAGCACCTGGAACGGAACAAGAGTATAAATGCCAACCAGCACGGATTCATGGAAGGCAAATCCTGTGTCACAAACCTTCTGGAGTTTTATGATAAAATAACAGAAGTAAGACACGAGAGAGAGGGGTGGGTTGATTGCATCTTCTTGGACTGCAAGAAGGCCTTTGACACAGTTCCTCACAAGAGATTAGTGCAGAAGCTAGAGCATCAGGCGCATATAACAGGAAGGGCACTGCAATGGATCAGAGAATACCTGACAGGGAGGCAACAACGAGTCATGGTACGTAATGATGTATCACAGTGGGCACCTGTGACGAGCGGGGTCCCACAGGGGTCGGTCCTAGGACCAGTGCTATTTTTGGTATATGTGAACGACATGATGGAAGGGTTAGACTCAGAAGTGTCCTGTTTGCAGATGATGTGAAGTTAATGAGGAGAATTAAATCTGATGAGGACCAGGCAGGACTTCAAAGAGACTGGACAGACTGGACACCTGGTCCAGCAAATGGCTTCTCGAATTTAATCCTGCCAAATGCAAAGTCATGAAGATAGAGGAAGGGCACAGAAGACCACAGACAGAGTATAGGCTAGGTGACCAAAGACTGTAAACCTCACTCAAGGAGAAAGATCTTGGGGTGAGTATAACACCGAGCATGTCTCCGGAAGCACACATCAATCAGATAACTGCTGCAGCATATGGGCGCCTGGCAAACCTGAGAACAGCATTCCGATACCTTAGTAAGGAATCGTTCAAGACACTGTACACCGTGTATGTCAGGCCCATACTGGAGTATGCAGCACCTGTTTGGAACCCGCACTTGATAAAGCACGTCAAGAAACTAGAGAAAGTACAAAGGTTTGCGACAAGGTTAGTTCCAGAGCTAAGGGGAATGTCCTATGAAGAAAGATTAAGGGAAATCGGCATGACGACACTGGAGGACAGGAGGGTCAGGGGAGACATGATAACGACATATAAAATACTGCGTGGAATAGACAAGGTGGACAAAGACAGGATGTTCCAGGGAGGGGACAGAGAAACAAGAGGCCACAATTGGAAGTTGAAGACACAAATTAGTCAGAGAGATATTAGGAAGTATTTCTTCAGTCATAGAGTTGTAAGGCAGTGGAATAGCCTAGAAAATGACGTAGTGGAGGCAGGAACCATACACAGTTTTAAAGACGAGGTTTGATAAAGCTCATGGAGCGGGGAGAGAGAGGGCCCAGTAGCAACCGGTGAAGAGGCGGGGCCAGGAGCTAAGACTCGACCCCTGCAACCACAAATAGGTGAGTACAAATAGGTGAGTACACACACACACACATACACACACACACACACACACACACACACACACACACACACACACACACACACACACACACACACACACACACACACACACACACACACACACACACATATATATATATATATATATATATATATATATATATATATATATATATATATATATATATATATATATATATATATATATATATATCTAAGATATAGTGCTCTAGTGTGTGGCTTTTCGTCCACACTGTATATTTCATGGTTAATATCTC